TGCTAAAGTCAGTTCATATTAATGTCAGAGATGATGATGCATAAAGAATAAAAAATGTGACCATGTTTCAGCTATTGAGGCTCAGGAGGAAGGAATACAATATTAAACCAGTGGATATCTGAACTCAGCTAAATGTATCAGATTTTATCCAAGTTTCAGGGACACTCTGTCTTCCATTGATCTGTCTCTAGCAGTTTAGTGGTTGATTCAAAAGGGACTATGTCCTTTGTGTTGAATATAAAGATAATATAAAACATTTCTGTCAATGTTTTATGGTCCAGTGATCAGTATGCAAGTATACGATGACTATGGAAAGGTTTGATATGCTGTGATGAACTGCAAAGTGACACGCTGATTGATCTGTGAGCCCAGTGGAGAAGTCAGTCAATACCAGTGAAATTCATGAAGTGTTTTTCTGCCAGTTTCACAGATACGCCATTGATGCATACCAGAGAACTAATGTTATTAGCCAAGTTGTACAGCAACATCTGCTACTTCCATAAATCAATCAGTGACAAAATAATGGGGAAGCTGCCGTTTGCTTTTTGCAGCTGGTGACAAGCTAATCATTAGCTTCTCACTATTCAACACACTCCTTGCAAATATAAAGAACCATATACTCACTTATTATTAGTTCATCATCCTTGCAAATAAAATGCATATTGACCTGGTTGCCATAATATTTAAAATGGTTTCAACTCAAATCTTACTTTGCCAATCCTTTCTCCTTTTTCCATTCGCGTTTGTGCTTCAAGTTAGCTTGCTCTTCTCCATTAAATCCCTCCTAAAAGTTTACTTTTAGCTAGCCTTCTACTCCTACTTCTAAGCCCTCATCATCAATATAAGACATAAGAGGCAAAAAGTACCTAAGTTCCTTTTGATCTGGAAACATGTTACAGAAATATGGTGTAAACTGGATGTTTTAAACTGTGATTAAGGAATTTCAGGGCTTCTAGTGAAGTCACACATAGTTTTATTAACAAACCAGAGACATAATGCATAAAATAATGGAGGAGAATGCCTATAACCAAGAAGCAGCATTCCTAGCCTAAATAATTCCTCCTCTTGCCCCTTAGTATGTCCCTATATTGTTTAATTTAGGGCCTAATCTTGCTTTGATAGAAGTCAAAGGTAGAACACCCTCTAGTTATGGGAGTAAGATCCAGCCATTTAGTTGTAAAGGGGCACAAACATCACTACAAGTTTATATCAGACCAACAATTTCCACAGAAAAGCCCTTAGGAAACATAGGAATTGCTACTTTTGATCAGACCAGTACTTCATTTAATCCAGTGTAGTCTCCTTACTAAAGGTGCCTCTGCTTATTTTCTGGGAAGACCCTGTGTGCTGCGATCTAGCCTCACAGACTACAATTCCCATGAAACCTTGGGAAAAACAGGAAGGAAGTGACTCTGGTGTGGAAGATCGGGGTCTCTCCAACTGCATGAGAAGAGAGGCCTAAGAGACTCTGCCCATGGATTTTGGAACAGAAGGGGAGCCAGACTGCTGTGGAGGAGTTTTATCCAATCCAGTGGCTGTTAGGGTACGTCTACACTAGCCCCCTAGTTCGAACTAGGGAGGCTAATGAGGGTGACCGAAATTGCAAATGAAGCACGGGATTTAAATATCCCACGCTTCATTAGAATGTTCCCGGGAGGTTGCCATTTTGGAAACTGACTAGCCCGGAATAACTGGCCGCGTCTACATGCAGCAGTGAATGAGCTCAAAATTAACTATTTAGGAAAAAGATGTAGTCATCATGGAAGTTCAATTAAAACATCTGCTCAACATACCACCGCAGTAAAAAAGACAAATAAAATACACTAGGTTTTATAAAAAGTGGCATTGTGAATATTTTAATACCTTTATTATGGAGGCACTAGTTATAGCACCATAGTTAAGGCTGAGTTGTGTTTTGCATATAAAACAGAGATTTAATCTCTTTGTTATATATGAAGAGTACACTGTGTTTCCACCAAATTACAGCACTTCCTCTCAATACTGAATTAATTTTCTAAGAATTTAGAAGTAAATCCATTAATAATGGAGTTGAAATTAATTTAAAGTGGATATTTAAAAAAAAATTAGCACTTCTCTATTAGACTTCTTGTCCACTGCTTTTCCACCGACTGCCACTCCCAGTCTTGAAAATGGAAAAAGCTTGGACCCACATACACCCTACCTTTATAGAATCTCCATTACAGCTTCAGTTCTTCAAGCACACCCACGCAAGCAAGAGTCTAGGACTCTGAGTCCACCGGTGTGCACACTGGGGTGGGTTAAATATTCGCAGTGCAAATGGCAGCTAGATAAGTTCCTTTTACTTCTGTGTACTTTGCTAATGGATGTTATTCACTGTTAATTTGTTAAATCCTGTTTCTTTAAGTTAAGTAAAAGTTGTTCATTCTAATGCAATCTCTTAGATGTATATTATTTATGATTTGTAATTTGTTCTGGAGTTAGATTCAGTTTATTGTTGGAATAAGTTTATTCCTGGATGTTCCCAAGACACACCAGTAAGTGTGTTACAGGGCCAGCCATTCTAATGCAATCTATTAGATGTATATTATTTATGATTTGTAATTGTTGTCCTGGAGTTAGAGCAGGTTTATTGCTGGAATAAGTTTCTTCCTGGAGGCTACCAAGGCACACCAGTGTGTACAGGGCCAGCCAGGTGGAGGCACCGCCATTGTACATTCTTTATGAGCAAGGGACTGCAGCAAGGGGGTGGATAGGTTTTCCCCAACCAACCATAACCACCACTGGGGTACTCAGGATCTCCTTTTATGTCAAGACCATCAGGCGCCCCGGCACACCTGTGAGCATGACCTGCTCCCGAGTAACCCAGGGAGGAAAAAGGGGCTACACCAGTATCCTCATTTCAACAGTGTCCAATATGCTTCAGAGAATGTACATATACCCCTACAACCACCATGTGGGATAACCATCCCAAACTGATAGTTTCCCCCAACCCTCATTACTAAGACAATGGCCACTGCCCTGAATCATGGGAATGTCTATCTTCCAAATCTCATGTTTATTTTTTCATATTTAGTATGACAATGCTGGATTATATATGTAATCCTCCAGTGCCAAAGAAAAGCTTGTTAGGATACAGCGTGAGGGCCACGTGTGCAGAAGTCAGTATATTATTTTGTCTGACTTGGATAAAAAGTACCAAAGTTCCTTTTGACCTGGAAACATATTACAGGAAAGATGGTGCAAACTCGATGTGTTTAAACTGTGATTAGGGAATTCCAAGGCTTCTAATGAGGTCACAAATAGTTTTAGTAACAAACAAACATGCCAAGATGAGAGGAAGATGTTGTAAATGGAACCATGGGATAATTGTTTTGACTGCTTAGTTCTTATGAGATGGGATCATATGGCAAGCTCTTTTAAGGAAGATGCAAGGGGCATAAGGAGAAAGGTGATACTATGTATCAGTTGGCTTCAACATCATGGTTGTCACCAGCCCAACCCTGCTGAGGCCCAGGAATTTCTCATCTAACCACTGGGCTTCTACTTGTACTCAAAGAACTAGCAAGAAGAGAGAACCAGATTACATCAGCATCTCCATCAGTTGAGCTAAATTTTAAGCAACACTTGTACCAAGTGAAGGTTCCTTCTGTAAGGTGTTAATTTCCTCCCCAACTTAACCTTATCTCCTTAACATTTGGTGTTTGCCTTCTAGGAGGGGAAAAAAAGGAGGTCAGAAAGCACGAGTGCCTCTTTCTTGCACATGAACCACCTGCTCACCCCCACCGCATCTCAACAGATCTGGTGTGGAGCACAGGAAGGAAACAAGGATAGGGAGAGCAAAACTTTGGGAAGGCCATGGATTACAGGAGGACATTGAGGGCATGTTGGGCGGTATGTCTGAAGTGGACGAATGAACCGGAACTATGAAGCTGAGGTCTTAGGAGGAGCTTGGCTCGCCAGGAGAAGGAAAATGAACATGCTGGGTGGAATATAGATTATCTGTTGTGATGCAAGGTGATGTTGTGATATAAGGTATACCAAAGACTGATGCAATGATATACGAGCTCAAAAATTAGGATGGCTAATTCCAGGCTCTTCCCCTGACCCAGATAACTACATCTGTGCTGTAGAGCTCACATGGCAACTTATTCAGACTTACATGGTAACTTACATGGTATATTAGTTCAATTATTGCTGAGTTCATTTCATTTACTTCTGTGCCACAGGCAAAACATAACGGTAATTACTAATTTTGCTGCTTCTAACCCTTGGGAACTCCTTCAGGCCTAATGAATGGGCCACTAGTATCACACATTATTGTAGGAAGGGTTAGGGGAGCATAAATGGGAATGTAAACATGTCCAAATATGGACATGGGAGAAATTAGAATGACCAAAAATAAAAAGAGTACAATGATGGAAGGCTTGATGTTCAGAAATGCTTATATAAAAGAAAAGAAGGAGAAAAGAATGAATTTATTCACTGGGTGATATTTTATCACATACTATTTTAAGTGGTATAGTTGCAAGCTTTGAAGGAACCATCTGCTTTTCTGACAGTTCACACTTAAAAGTAGATTATTTTTCAAGAGATGATCAATTTTCAGAACTAATGCTGTATGATGTCCCCCTCCCTCCTAAAAAAATTCATATTTTCACTGAAGGGTTGAAGAACTTTTAAAAATTAAGACTTTGCTTGCAGGGTTGTTGTAGCTATGTTGGTCCCAGTGTATGAGACACACCTTGTAGGTGACATAACACCATTTCCTGGACCAACTTCTGTTGGTGGAAGGGGCAAGTTTTTGAGCTTCAAAGAACTAAAGAATTCTTCTGTGATGCTCATAGGCTTGTCTCTTCCTACAACTGATGTTGGCTCAATAAAAGGTATTACCTCACCTAAATATATACAGTCTCTCTAAATATATACAGATATTGCCTCTGTTTTAAAGGTGGTTTTACAATGTAGTTGTTAAACTATGAAACCACACCACAGAACAAGCTAGAACCAGTGGAGCCTACCTTCCTCCGGTGGGATGGCACAATAAAAAAAGTTTCAATATTATGCTTCTTCAAGAAACTGTTCCTTTCATGGCCGTATCCTGGTTCTACCTCATAGTCACCATTTAGGCACTCTAAAGTGGTCTTTGTTATGTGAACTTTCCTAGGGAGAAAGACAGGAAAAAATTTATGCAATGATTTACCACGAGCCAGTACTTATTCATTTGGGTGAGATCCACCACTATGCAGAGGGCCAACACAAAGGTCGATTACACACACAGATAATAAGTGGCCTTTTGTTGTAGGGCAGCTAAATTTTGTCAGCCAACCAGAAAGTAGAGGAATTTTAGCATATAAACTTCCTATATAGCAAATGCTGTGAACAAATGTGAGTAACTATAGAGTCTTGTTGATTTTACAAAGTATGCAGGTATACATGTTATATTTCAAGTTCTCTGGCATTCTAAGTGTTTACTAAACTGCTTGTGGGATATATTAGCCCTCCATTTGATGCATGCAACTCCACTCTTTAAATTTTTGTAATGGATGTTCTTTTTCTGCTACATAAAGGTCAAGTTTTTGTTTTCACTTTTCCATCCATTTACAACATTAAGGGCTTGCCTCCATAGGTGTACTTGAGAAACTGAAAGTCAACTTTCAAAGTGGATTAGTTAAACCATGTTAAGCCTCTGGGTGGACACTCTAATTCAGCACTGAAGTGACCTTAATTCAATTGAGCATAATTCACTTTGAAACTAAAATAAAGCTATACTGAATTATGGTCAATTTACTTCTGAATAAGAGAGTCCATTTAGGGGGTTAATGAAGTTTAATCCACTCACAGTTGGTTAATTTGGATTAATTTTCCTGAGTGTCCCCATGTAGAAAGTTTTAATTCAGCCATCCCATTCTGTTTTTCCACGAATGCCAGATAGGTTTCTTCTGGTTGGTCTATTTTTCCTAGAAACATGTTTATACTTTTTTCCATGCTACTCTTTATACATGCAACATCTTCATAGAAATTAACTATAAAGATATTACTTCTCTAAAGTTTTTTCGATTTCTTTTTACTGTGATGCCTTAAAAGTTTCCAAAGCAAATCAAACTACAAAAATCATCTCAAATAAACAAATACCAATCAAGAAAGAAATTTCTCATCTTAACCACAAGAGTTACCAGGCCCCATTCCTCCCTGTTCAATAGAACACACATTGTTTTGTAAAAATCCAACAAATCTTCATTGGATATGGAGGGTCCTGTTCTCACACATGTGTACGCACCTAACTTGTGTATAAAAATGCTCAATGCATCCTTGCAATTTCAGTACTCGCTAGGGCCCATATCCAATTCAATTACTGAGTGTTATTAAAAGCATGATTTGCACATATACACTGAATATTTGGATACATATGTTAGGCACAAACTAATGTTTGCATGGCATTGGGCATGACTAACTTTGAAAATCTGACTTTTGTATTGGTAATAACAAGCCCTGTAGTTAGATGCACAAATGGACATACCTTCCTCTACAATACATGGAGGTAACTCCATTTTACTGATAGGAATATTTAGCTCTTTCTTGACTGAAACTGTCATTGTTTTATTCCTACCCTTCATATTTGATGATTTCTAGTGAAAAACATATTCAGAGGACAGCTACATTTTATCAGAATTTTGTTCACATTTGCTTCTCTTAATCATTACTAATAGAGATCTGCAGGCCAATCAATCCTAGGCTATGCCTACATTATGGGGCTTTATCGGAAAAAGGTACGCAAATTGCACTTTGCAATTTGCGTACCTTTTTCTGATTTTTTTTTGGAAGATGCTTTTCTGAAATTTGGCCCGTCTACACTGGGCCAAATTTTGGGGAAAAAAACCCTCTTTCGAAGAGTCCTTCTTCCTTGTGGGAGGAGGAAGACAGGGCTTCCAGAAGAGCGTTCCCTGGACACGGCAGAGTTTTTCCGGGATACCTTCAGGTATCCCAGAAAAACCCCATAGTCTAGACATAGCTCTAGTGTTCTTCAAATGTTTGTACAGCAGCCTCAGAGCTCATAACCTGAAACACCCATACATATCAGTTATCGTAGTAAATGGCTTTGCAAAATACTTTCATTTAAAGAGAGAAATAATGTATGCTCACATACAGGGCTGTAGAGGTTTTTTTCTGAGACTTACCCAGGCAATCCTCCAGTTTCCATTACATTTGCCAGAGTCACATCGTTTGACCAGACATCATATTGCCATTTGCGGAGACCTAAGACCCCGCAAAGCACTCTGCCTGTGTGTAGTCCAACTCTCATGTTGAGATCCACTTCAGTGGCTTCTGCTACAGACCTGAAAACAGATGGTATCAGATCTTTAGAGAAGAACATTCCTTTCCATCATATCCTGGTCTCTTTCTCTCAAGACTTATTGTTTCAGCTTATATACATATTCCCAGTTTCAAATAAATGGTTTTTAAAAATTTCAGACAAGTGACACAGCAAGCTAAGGTTCTTGCCTTCCCAAGCTTTGGGGAAAGTTCAAACTCTGATTCATACTACTACCAAAATAGATGTTGTGAAAGATGATTTCGCCTGTAGTTCCCCCTCCCCTCCCATGAATCAAAATCTCAGTACCCCATAGTGGTACCTGGAACCTGGCTGCTTCATGCTAGTTGTAAAATACAAACTCAGACAGCTGTGTGCTAGATGGGCAGTTACACTGACAACAGAACAGGGAAGAGAAATGATCCCAGCAATAGAAAAGTTGCTGACACCACAGTGTCCACAGTGGTAGATTTCCCATCGGCAGAATACCCTATGTGTCTGTCTATAGAACATTTTAAAAGCTGGTTTATGTTCTCCGAGGCTATGTCTACACTGCAGGCTTTTGCCAGCAGAGAGCATGCTAATGAAGCTGATGCTTTTTGTGCAAGAGGTTTTTGTGCAAAAACAAGCAGCGTAGATGGGTCCGTTTTGCACAAAATCCCCCTTTTGCGCAAGATTCTCATGCCTTTTGCGCAAAACGGATCTGTCTACACTGCTTGTTTTTGCACAAAAACCTCTTGCACAAAAAGCATCAGCTTCATTAGCATGCTCTCTGCTGGCAAAAGCCTGCAGTGTAGGCATAGCCTTATTGTTCTCGCTTTGTTTTATTTCCTTTCACACCTATAAAAAACACTTTTTGGCCGCTTAAGATGATGGTAAGTTTACCAAAGATCTAAACCAGCAGTGGGCAATGTTCACTAGTGCAATCAGCACACAGCTCACTTCATGTACCCTTGCTTTATGTGCGTGTTACTTGAATAATACCAGTAGGAAAACAACTATGTGGATGGAAACCAATAGAATCTAGTAACCCTGCATGGAGGTCACAACAAACAAAATGTCTTGCAGGCCACATATTGAAACTTGATGGACTCATGTGGCCTGCAGGCTGCCCACCACTGATATAAATAATAAATAATAATAATAATAATAATGTTTTATTTCTTACGAAAGAGTGAGTATTTTTATCCCAAGCTTCCAGCACCAAATTAAATTTTGATTTGAGTTTCAGGGTTGAATGAATCTAACAATTTATAGCAAAATCCATTCAAACATTATCTTGCACCTAATTTTACCCAGAAAAAAAACACAGGGCTAAAACAATGGGGCTTTAATTTATATTGTCCCAGGGTCATTTGAAATTTGGTTGAAGTTCATTTGAAAAGTCTGCTCCTCTTACTAAACCTTGTGGGAACTTGGTACGTGATTGAAGTTTTGCAAATTGTACTATGTAGTTCTAGTTGCCATCTTCTCAGTATTTGTCATTACATTTCTTGCAAAGCTTAGATCTTTTATCAAAATAAACAGTACACACTTTACTTGTAACTCAGCTGATCTAGTGACAGCCAAAGTGTGTTTATCTCTGTCTCACACTTATTTACCCACAGTTTTTTCTGTGATAATTTTTCCTGTTCCCAAATGTGTATTTACGTTAGGCAGCTATGACAGGTGACAGCAAACTGATGGTGGAATCAAAAGAAAATTGTTGAAACTATCTTATTAAGTGTAATTTTAACCCGACATGCATCCAACCAAACATATTTAAATACAGTATTACAAGGGATCATTTTCAAATGAATATAAAAATAGACAACATTACTTTTAGAGTTCCTTCATTTCATAGAAAGCATCTATTCTATTTAAACAGCCTAGTTTTGTGTTAGAGGTTGGCGAATGTTTATGGGTAAAGGGATTTCACCATAAGCTGTTGCATAGGGCACTGAGGAGGAGGTTAATCTTGTGGGTAGAACACTAAACTGGAATTGAAGAGATCTGGCATCAATTCATAGCTCGAGGCCAGACTTAGGTAAATCACTTAATCTCTCTTGTGTCTCTGTTCATAGTCTGCAAAATGGAAATAACATCCCCCAGCCTTTGTCTGCTAATGACACAGTGGCTGGTCTCTAGGTGTGATTGTAATACAGATTCATAGCAATGATAATAATATGTCATGGAGGAGACGCTGATCACCTTCTGCACTAGGGTGAATTCCATCTATGCTTTTCTCTTTGTGCATCAGAGAAAGTCCTAAACAATAAACATCAATAGCAATGTTTATCTCCCCTAATTTACTTCTTTATTCTGTAGTATTTGCTTGGCATGCTATGATTAGTTTTACTATTTGATGAACAGCTCAATTTCTTTGATTAAAACTTATTGAAGTAAAAACTAATTTTTTCTAAGAGTCTCTGATTGTTTAATTTCCTCCTTACAATGATTCATATTTAACACGTCAGTAATCATTTTCTTGTATTAATTTCCTTACTGCTCTCAAGATTTCAGATTCAAAATCTGTCCCTCACCAGTGCACACAAACAGGATATGCCAGTCCTGATCAGTACTCCCTGTAAGCTGAGCACTTGTGGGGCTGCTCAGGAGAGATTCACATGCTGTCCAGCTGATTAAAAGCATGCCCACAGCCAGGTTTTGTTTCTACTGGTGGTGCATATTCGTACATGCCTTGGTGCACATAAAAAATATTCTGCCAATGGAAATTATTCTGCACATGGATGGAAAAAATTTGAATATGGATGGAAAAGATTAGAAGGGAGAATTAGGTCCTGATCTTTGTGCTTCTGCGTGTAGTTAGGATAGCTATCCAGAAATACACAGGGCTATATTTTGTCTAATCCTGTGAGGCCACTCAGGAAAGTGGGATCTTCCAGTCACACAGCCTTCTCTGATTGAGGCTCAGGCACACAAGACCGTTCCCTCACCTCACCTCTGTGAGCAAATGGGCATGGTGAAGTGCCAGTAAGGAATAGGAGGAATGAGGCAAAGTCTTGACTCCACTCTCCATGCGTGAGACAGCACACATGGCCCGACTTAGGCTACGTCTAGACTGCATACCTCTTTCGAAAGAGGTTTTTTCGGAAGATACTTTCGAAAAAACCTCTTTTGAAAAAGAGCATCTAGACTACAACTAGTACTTTTGAAAAAACAAGCCACTTTCTTAAAAGAGAGCAGTCTGGATGCTCTCTTTCGAACAACCACAGTTTGCACTACATAGCGCTTTTTTTTCGAAAGAGCACTTTCGAAAAAAGGCATTCTTCCTTGTAAAACGAGGTTTTCCGTGGTCAGAAAAACTGCTGCATTCTTTTGATTTACTGTCAACAGAATGCGGCAGCAGTCTACATGCAGGGGAAGTTTTTTCAAAAAAAGCCACTTTTTTTAAAAAAATCCTGTAGTCTAGGCACACCCTTCTTGTGGCAGTGAGGCTTCATCTACACTACAGGTATTTGTCAGCAGAGAGTATGCTAATGAAGTGCTCATTAGCCTTTGTCACGCTCTCATTTGCATATCTCTGCTGATGTTTTTTGCGCAAAAACAAGCACTGTAGATGAAGCTGTTTTGCACAATAATACGTTTTTGCACAAGATCCCTTATGCCTCAAAAAAGGAGGTATACAGGATCTTGCACAAAAGGTTTTTTTTTGCGCAAAACAGACCTGTCTACACTGCTAGTTTTTACGCAAAAACCTCTTGCGCAAAAAGCATCAGCAGAGAATATGCAAATGACAGCACAAATGCTAATGAGAACTTCATTAGCATACTCTCTTCAGTGTAGATGTAACCTTGAGTAACCCAAGAAAGAGTGAAGTAACATGATCATTCAATGTAGGAAGCTAGCAAAGGAAGAATTTTGACTGAGTTGTAATATCTTTCCTTCTGTAGTAGCGTAGCTACCCATGTGCAGGGTTGAGTCTGAAGATTAATTCTAGCCTGCAGAAATTTACATTTTACACAAGCAGGAATTGTAATTAGTTATTAAAGTCCAAGTTAATGGGACAACAACTGACAACAATCTATTGCCCTGAAACTGCAAACACTTATACATGAGCTTAACAGAGCAGCACACTCCACGGTTAATGTCTCAAATGGGACATAACATTTTTGCTTCTCTTTCTGGAGGCAAGTGGCCAGTTGGGGTGAAATTTCACACAGGGTTAATGTTATGCTGTTTGAATTTTCCATGTAGGTTTTAATTTCGTTTCTCCTCAGACATTTTACTGTGAAGCTTATGAATTTGGCCTCTGGCTGAAATTTCCCTGTGGCAACTTTTCATTGTTAACTGATATCTCTTTGAAAACATTGTCTCTTTACCTGTAACTTGGCAGAGAAGCAGACACTGATGAAGAATGATATAATGTTCAGGTTTTGTTTTGTTTTTTTGGTTGAAAAAAATGGTGTAATTTTTAGCATTCATTCACATTATACACAAGAAGTTTCTACCCTATACACACAATTTGATGGGTGCTAGGAATACACAAGTCTGATTAATTAAATTTGAAAAATAATTCAGCTCTTGCTCTTATGATATAGTGCTGTATATGTGGCTCCAGAGTTTTTACTCCAAAAATCTGTCAATTTTGTATTTAGTTCAAACTGACAATTTTCAACATTCAACTAAGACCACGTCAATTTTGTATTTAGTTCAAACTGACCATTTTCAACATTCAACTAAGACCACGATCCTATGCATACCTATGCATATGCTTATTTTAACTCATGTGAGCAGACCCGTGATGCCAATTCTCATGAGTAAATGTAAGTACAGGTATGAGTATTTCAAGATTAGGGCCTTACCAGCCTTCATATATAAAGCCCTGCAAACCCATGGATATCCACTTTATATGTGCAGGTATCCACATCCATGGGTGCAGATACCCACAGCTCATTATTGCAAATACGGATATCCACTGATAGCAATTTTTATCTAGAACCTTGCAAATTTGTGGATATCTGCTTTATGTCCATGGGTATCCACATTTTTGCAGATTTCAAATACCAATTATGTAACTTTGCA